GACAACCAATATATATATATATATATATATATATATATATATATGTAAATGGCATGGTAACGTTATAAACACTCGCATCTGTTAACGCAAAAGCATGTGTCAGAGTTCGGTTCCAAGAAATTAATATTTCGACTCGTCTGGTTGACCGTTGCCACTGACTACTGATTCACCATTAATTGTTCCAGGAAGGTTTGACGTGACGTAAAATCAACCAACCAATAATAGATATGGGGTAATGGTTAACGAGGTCTGTTTGCTTGCGCATTACACCGTGTTATAAAATAAAATAAGACATATCTCAGCTGATTTACAGGCATATACGCAAGAGCGAGAGCCGGATGTGAACGGGACAAATCCCCGTCACAAAATGACCATTATCTTCATTTACAAATGTTCCCGACACTCGAGTTCCGGTCGAAAAATAAAATAATATTTAAAGTCTTCTATTTTTCGTCCAATAAAAATGCTTCCCTCCTAATTATACTCGCTTCGTTTTTCGAGCCTGTTAAGCCATAAAAAAAACGCTATAAAAGGGGTCACACGGAAGTTCAACAGGCAGTTAACAGGTGCCAAGAGTAGAGACCTGTCACGGTCAGCTACTGACAGCAGGGGAGCGTCAACCACCGTCAACATGTGTGAACTACTATGAGAGATCGACCTAGATCCGAAGCCGGCTTATGAACTTTACCACAAGGTAGCTGTCCCAAACCCACACGTTCCTGTTGAAATAAACCACGTAAATCTATTTCTGCTGTTGTATTTCTTTCTTGCAACCATACGCTTGTCTGTAACGACCGGAGTAGAGAATTCGATCCTCACGAGGCGTTCTATACAACATTCTAACATTAAAAAAATACAATAAGAGTTCACATGTCGTAAAATCAATCAACCATTAATCGACACGGTGTAATGGTTAATGAGGGGCGTTTTTCTTCACCACTACACGTGGGTAGGCGCTTCGATCCTCACTAGATATTCTATACAAAATTCTACGTTAAATTGATTTACGCAAAATATACAAAGCAACTTGTTAAAAACACAGGATCCCTACTGCTGATTCGCTACAAAATCTTCCGAGGGTCATTTTATACATTTGCTGAGGCTATCATTAATAGCGATCGTGCCCAACGTGCTTACAATGATATGTTTTGGATTAAATTGGAGCCAGAAGCTAAGATGATTTCAACGGCTGCGTCACTATATAATGTTCCAAGGCCTAGGGTTAAGCAAACATGACAACAGAAGTTTTCTTTTGTTTTTGTTTTTTTTAAGGAATGGTACCACAAGAATGCAATAGACTTTCTCACCAACGTGACTTCCACCCCCGCGTATTAATGGTATTCCCGCCCCGCTTGTGGGGGTTATTATTATAAAAAGAAAAGATAGATAGATAGGAACTGAGTTAGCTGTAATCAATCCTGAATTGGCATCACGACTTCAGTCAATTTCACAGATAGATAGATAAGAAGAGATCGGGATAGATAGATAGATAGATAGATAGATAGATAGATAGATAGATAGATAGATAGCTGTAATCAATCCTGAATTGGCATCTCGACTTCAGTCAATTTCTCAGATAGATAGATAAGAACAGACCCGGATAGATAGATAGATAGATAGATAGATAGATAGATAGATAGCTGTAATCGATCCTGAATTATCATCTCGACTTCAGTCACTTTCTCAGGTAGATAGATATGAACCGACTGAGATAGATAGATAAAAACAGATCGTGATAGATAGATAGATAGATAGATAGATAGATAGATAGATAGATAGATAGATAGATTGAAACAATCAGAAACGACTCATTAATCTTGTATTGCTCTGGTATAAGGTAACATGTGTAGAACATTTTCTCAAAAAGGAATTGACGCATTCTGCGAGCAAGGTCGAGACACCATGCTCAATGTTTTCAGATGGAAATACATAAACAAAAACAAATCTCGTAGTGCAAAAAAAAAAAAAATACAAAAAAAAACGGCAAGTAATAATCAAAATGAAAATATACAAACAGCTGCATTCATATTTTAATATTTCTAAAGTTAGCACCGAATAATTTACGTGGTATTTGTTCAACTCTCCATTGAAAATTATTATATAAAATTGTTTACAATGCAATTCTGCTTTGGAAATACATTTACATTCCGCCAATAATTGCCCCCCGCCTCCTGTCAGTTATTTGTGCCTTTTATTCCTGATCTCTGATGATATCTTTCTTTCTGATTTCAGCAGAACAATTCGGTCGGAAAATCTTTTACATCTCGTGTAAGAATGTTTGCAATGATTTTCAATTACACAATAACCTAAAAAGCTCTTATGTCGCAGTTATTTGCAATGAACGTCTATTTTAAAAACCATTTACAATGAAAATCTATACAATGGATTTATGTAGTTAAATAATGGACAATACATTTCTATGATAAATGCATTAATATTTTACATATAATAACTTGTATAGTAAAGAAAATTTTAAATTTAACAACGCTACTGGAAATCAAATAGAAAGCGACACTTGCAACTAAAAAATAGTCAGAAGAATGACTCGGACGAAACATTGTTGGAATAATAATAATAATAATAATAATAATAATAATAATAATAATAATAACAAAAACCGACCAGCTACAGAAGCGATGGCAAGATAAACCGCTTCATGGCCAATACTCTGCCCGTACCAAAAAAGATGACGTAGACAAAACCCGTACCCATCAGTGGCTACGTAGTGCAGGGTTGAATGCGGAAACTGAAGGTTTTATCCTTGCTGCGCAGGACCAATGCTTGCTAACTAGGAATTATCAAGCACATATACTAAAATATTGTGTAAGCCCAAAATGCAGATTCTGTGATAAGTATCCAGAAACGATTGATCATCTTGTATCAGGTTGCACGGTGTTGGAACCCACTGAATATAAAACCCGACATGACAGAGTGGGCCAATATCTGCACTGGAAAATCTGCAACTTCTACGGGAAGGAAACTGAAAAAAAACTGGTATGAACACCACCCAGACCCGGTTACGGAGATAGGACCTGTTACAATTCTATGGGACTACACAATACACACTGACAGAACAATCAAGGCCAATCGGCCAGATATTGTTATTAAAGACCACAAACAAATACGGTGCCTCCTTATTGACATGGCAGTCCCTGCTGACTGCAATGTATCTTTGAAGATATTCAAAAAGTTGTCAAAATACAAGGACCTTGAAATAGAAATCTCGAAAATGTGGCATATGGGAACATCAACAATCCCTGTTGTAGTTGGAGCCCTAGGACTGGTTGGAAAAGATTGCAGTAGACTATTTGAAGGAATTCCTGGAAGTCCATGCCTCAAGGAGATACAAAAAATTGTTCTGACAAGTACAGCCCACACCTTACGAAGGGCTTTTTCTATGTAATTTAATTTTTTTTTTTTTGTCAGTGGAAAGTGTCATGACGCCATTTCTAACCTTAGGTCCCTGGGTGGGACCCGGCAAGAAATGTGTAAACGCCAGAAATCAAAGAAAATAAAAATAATAACAATAATGAAAATAATAGTAATAATATTAACAAAAATAACAATAATAATAATAACAATAATAATAACAATATTAATAATAATAATAATGATAATAATAATAATAATAAAATAATAATAATAATGATAATAATAATAATAAAATAATAATAATAATAATAATGACAACTCTGAATTATGGACAATTCCGAAGCATCTCTTTCGACAGTTTTTCTTTCTGTGCAGCAACTTGCTCTGGTTTCCTTGTTTGGATTCAGTTAATCTCAACACGCAAAATAAACTTTTCATTTTTTTAATGAGAAGAGATTCTACGTTGTGTCCAAACCAGTTGTTTTGTTCTGTCGAATTCAAACTGTTTGCACAATTCTTAATGTTTCATTACCTCCACCCTCTCATGTCAGGTTGAAAAGTAAGGATCAATATATGGATTGCGGCAAAGTATAAATAAAAGGAATCATTACAATATCCCCTTTAAATCTATTGATCTAGCTCCTAATGATCTGGAGGGAGCGGCTTGAGGAAAGAAGACGAGGCTCTTGGGGCACAATCCTTTGGGTTACGTATACTTGGATAAGTATCACCAACGAATTTAGTGAGGAGCGACGTTATATCGAGTCTAGCCAGTTTCCTCTTCGTCACCGTTGGTCCAGTGATATGACGCTTGTGTTGCTTCGTAACGGTCCAGGTTCGATTCTCGGTATTGGATGGAAATTCGTCGCTGCTGATAAGTCCCAAATAGGACAAAACGGCCGTCCAGTGCATTCTATTGAGGATTCTTCTAGACTCGATGAATATATATATATAAAGTAATTCATCGAGTCTAGAAGAAACCTCAACAGAGTGCAGAAAGCACTGGACGGCCGTTTCGTCCTATTTCTCCGACATTCATGCCGTTAAATGTTGTTTAATACTGTTTATTCTAAACAGAGCATTTACTTAAATATTTGTATCTATAAAAGGAACGTATAAACACAAAATTGTCTTATATACATATATATGAATATGCTCTGTGAGTGCCAAATTTTCAAAGCTCTCTTGCCTTCTTGTGTGTTCCAGAAATTCTTTTTTTTTTTCATATTTCTGTTCTCCAATCACCTTTTTGCCCCGTAAAAATAATAAGAACAAAAATACTAAAGAACTTAGGATCATCAATCTAACAGTTCTTTCCTATTATATCAATACACGCACCCACACCATACACACACCCCATACACACACACACATATATATATATATATATATATATATATATATATATATATATATATATATATATATATATATATAATAAAAAAGAAGGAACAGTAAGATATATAATCCGGTGTTCTTATTGATATTTTTATTTTTACAAAACAGTGCTCGATGTAAATTTACAGAGCATAAATATTATAAATTAACTGATTTAAAATATGATTTCTTCGCTACACAGGAATTACCATGTTTCAAAAACCGAAGCTAAAATCTTTAATTATATAATTAAATTAAAAGCATTATTTCCGTTTCTTCTTCAAGTGAATATTGGAATAACTTATTTTTAAATTTACTGATTTTTAAATATACATGCAATTCATAATTTATTTTGTTTTCAACGATACAGAGAAATCCAATCATTTAGACAGGGGCGGTAGCGTATTCATTTTTATTAACTATTGTTGTATCAATTATGAGTTACGTTCGAAAAAGAGGTTACGTTTAGGGAGGGTAGGGAGGGAATTCTGACATCCGTTCAACGCATGTCGTCTGTTTTTTGTTTTTTTTCAACGACAAATAGTTTTTCGGCATTTTTTCCGTTAAATTTCGATATCCCTCTGCAACTTCGGATTTCAGTGTCACGTTTTCCGTCGTCGGTTACACCACTATTTAGATTTATGTTCCAGCATGATTTTGTCGTCTATAGTTCGCATGTTGGGCTAACATTCTTGCTGACAACCATACATACTTCTTTCTATATTCATAGCTTTTATCAGATTTTACATATCTTTATAATTGCCTCCAATTTATCACTGTCACTGCATCTTATCTTCTTATAGAACCAGTTTCTCAATTTCCTTGCTTGAAATATGACTTCCCCAAGCTCTCTGCCTTTTTCTTTTTTTTTTTTTTTTTTGTTCTTGAGCATCTTGCCAAACGATTTATCCCAATTATCACGCCATCTTCTTGTTTGCCTTCCACAAATTTACTTATGGTCTCGAAGGATTCACATCGGGAATCTTCGCGTCCACAGCTTGTCTTATACGCCTGCAACGTCCTTCCTAACAGATAGATCCCTGAAGGCAATTATTAACGACCAGTCCCTCGAGGCCCTAGCGGTTAACGCAGGCGTCCCCTAGGGGTCACTTCTCTGACCAACCTTCTTTTTGGTTTACATAAATGATCCACGTAAGAATATACTCCAGTCATTTGTAAATGTCTATGCCGATGATATGACGATATTCGCGCGCATCTCTAAAAGTCTTGACGACCAGAAAATGGCAACTGGTCTCTCTCTGCCGATCTAACACTAACTTCTCAGTGGGGAAAAACTGACTTGTTACATGCAATGCCTCTAAAATCAAAGTGATTACACTTCATCACCGACGAGCAGACTTCAAATTACCTCCAGTCACGATTAACGAATTTCGCCTCGAGGAGGCCCCATCGTCGGGAAGGCACTGATCCTCAAATTCACATCCGACCTTAAATGCAATTCCTATATACGATTTATCGCTAAAGATGCAGGTAAAATGATCGGCTCCCTGTACGCCTCCAGACTTTTAGATTGTTTGCACTATTTTTGCTTGCAGCTCCTTTTACTTTGCCTGCCTTATATTTTAATTTACTTTGCTTTACTCTGTTTTGCTTGCCGAATATTTCTTTTAGTTGCCTTTTTTTTTACTTTGCCTGCTTTATATTTTAATTTACTTTTCTTTACTCTTTGTTTTGCTTGCCGCATGTTTCTTTTAGTTGCCTTATTTTTTACTTTGCCTGCCTTATATTTTAATTTACTTTTCTTTACTCTTTGTTTTGCTTGCCGAATATTTCTTTTAGTTGCCTTATTTTTTACTTTGCCTGCCTTATATTTTAATTTACTTTGCTTTACTCTGTTTTGCTTGCCGAATATTTCTTTTAGTTGCCTTTTTTTTTACTTTGCCTGCTTTATATTTTAAATTACTTTGCGTTACTCTTCGTTTTGCTTGCCGTATATTTCTTTTAGTTGCCTTATTTTTTACTTTGCCTGCCTTATATTTTAATTTACTTTGCTTTACTCTGTTTTGCTTGCCGAATATTTCTTTTAGTTGCCTTATTTTTTACTTTGCTTGCCTTATATTTTAATTTACTTTTCTTTACTCTTTGTTTTGCTTGCCGCATGTTTCTTTT